CCCAGGTCAGATCCTGGACCCAAAGCACACTGGATCTGTCTGTTCCTGGGCTTCAAAGGAGTTCAGGTCTCAGTCCAAGCTTTTCCTCAGTTGTTGAAATTGTCACTCCAGGTGCTGCCTAAAATTGCACCCTGCATCTTACGCACAAAACTGCTTCACGCCAGATACAGTTTTTTATCCTTCAGTTTGGCAACGACTTTGCACTTGCACATCCTGCACCCCTATCATCGCTGACTCAGGCTGAACTGCCTCAGCTCTGCTTTATCCCTGCAACAGCTGTAAGGAAAAATAACACATTATTCACTGTGAAAGTGTGGGTCATGCAATGAAATATCCGTCTTTTTGAAACTGCAAATGTAGTTGTGCATTTAAATGCAATTTTGAGGAAATGGCTACGGGCCACTAATGGCAAATATTGATGGCTAAAAAGCAAGAGAAAGTTGCCACAAGAAGGAGAAATTTTATTCAATATAGTGTAAGGATTAGTTTTCTGAACTGATAATGGCTTTGAAATGTGAACGCAAACCGTGGTTTGCATTTTGCCTTAGATGAAATAGCCAGTTTTCTTATCCAGGTATTCCAGGCCTGTCTCTATTACTCATTTTTGGAGTTCGGCATCACCAGCAACTTCTGTGGAGATTTCTGTGGAAAGGGTACAACGAAAGAAATCTTCATCTTAAAAAGATCATCACATACGAAAAAAAACCCAACAGTTCAATTGACTGTTACTCTGTCTCAGCAATGTCTCTCTGCAAGGTTAAACTATTCAAGTCTGGCAGTCTTTCAAGGGTGAAGGTAGGACTTTTTTCAAGCCCAGCAGATGAAAGGCCCTGTGTAAGCTCCATCTTTAGCAGCAGGGTTTGCATTCAGCTCTGAAGCACCCTCGCAAGAGCCACAAATCCCTGTCCCCGAACGGAGAGATTCACCAGAGGGCAGCACAGTATCACTTTTTATTGTAAAAGCAGGAGTTTACCATTTCAGCTGTCTTAAGAGCTCTTTGAAATTAGCTGCTTGTTGTTCCATAGTTATGATTGCAAATAAGTTTCTCTTTAAAGCTAGCCTCTGAAGCAGCTCCAAAATCCATTATATTAGGCACACATTAACATTTTACTGTCCAGGCATTCACCAAGTGGAAGCAGAGGGAGTCCAGACAGTTGTATTTTCAATGTATCTCTCTGCCAAGTTTCTGTCCAGGGCTGGTCAGGGCAGCTGATGGGTGCTTGTCCAGCTTCAAGTATTTCAGAAGCTCTCCTGTGTTAAAGGCACCAGCCTGAGTGAATAGTATTTCAGCCTCATCGTTTGGGAGGCATTAAACAGTAGGAGTAAGCCCTCTGATGGCACTTCATGAGAAGGGTTCACAGAGGGTGAATGTAGGCATGCTTTTTTTGTGTTATCATTATATTTACTTCTGGTTGTCCCATATGCTGAGCAGCTTCTAGGTTCTCTAGCACTTATGCCAAACTCTCACCTTTCAAGGAGCTAAGAGGAGTCACTGGTCACAGCTTCCCTCATGCAGGGCTTCATCTGTCATCAATCTGTTCCAATTTATTGCTCTATTCTGCTTGCACAGGTAACTGGTGTCTCCAGCAGTTGCCTCCCCTGGTTCAAGTGCCACTGTACTTTTCCAACCTTTTCTGACCTCTTTCTTTCAACTTACAGTCAAAGCTTTGGTATCTGAATTCTTGCTCTTTGCTTTTGTTGTACATTAACTACATCTTCTGTCCTTGGTCGTTCTCTTTGCTCCATTTAGCTTCTGCCTGGTGGGATGTCTCATGTCTAGCTTCAGTCTTGCACTTCACTCTTGACATTCACACGTAGGTCTCCCTCAGCTCTCTCCCTCTGATCTCACTCCTTTTTAAGCTCAGCCTCAACTCTATCCGCTCCTGCTCATCCCAACACTTCCCAACTCTGTACTGAAGTCTTCAAAGATGCGGCTTTTCCATGGGGCTGCTCCCCATGCATCCTTAGCTTTCCTTAGCTCAAATATTATCTTTATTTAAAGGCCAGCAGCCTTAAGAATATATGTGTAGCATAAAAGAATAACTTTTCCTACCGTATTAGCTATTGGTACATTACTTAGTCTTCTGAGAGGAGTGTAGTATTGTTCTTCAGAGTAGGTATAAAATCATGAACTTAGTAGTAGAAATAATTTAAATTATATCTTTCAAGACAACTTTGTGTCTGCTTTGAAAAAAAAAAACAAGATTCTGTTTTAAGAAAAAAAAATTTTTGAAAACTCTATTCTTTTTGTTTTATTTTTCTTTGCCCAATATTTGGGAAAAAAGAAAAAAAGAAAAAAGGTTTCTTTTTCATTTGCATTCTCTCTTTATTTCTTGGGAAAACTAAGGAAGAAAAGACAACAAAAATGCTGAAAAAAGATTTTATTCAGTTTTCATTTTTTTCACATTTCATTTTCGTTTCATCCTTTTTTTCCATGGAAGGAAGAAAATTAGTATTTTTTAAAAGCAAAAGGATGGGACAAAAGAAGGTAAAAGATCTTTTAAGAATAATTTTTAAAAGCTTTAACAGGGCAGAAAATGTCTTTGAAAATTCATAAAAAATAAAAGTTGAAAAGAAAAATACTTTCTATTCAAAACACGTAACAAAGGTTTTGAGCTAGTTAAGGCAGCCAGTGCAGTGTGCTTTGTAGTGTTTTCTAAATTAGAACAGTCCATCACCTCTACAGGAATCCATCCCAGTGCACGGTGCCCTTGCACCTAATCAAAGAGGTCTTCGCAGACACCATATGAAGTTTTCTCCTGACTAAATCTGATTCAGCTTCTCTTATGGTCTCTCCATTTCACAGTCAGTGATGTGACTATGACTCAGTGTAGAAATAACATGAGTTTTGCTTTAAAATAGGGATGAGGCAGGGCAGTATCAGATTGACATCTGCAATATACATAATTTTTAGAGTGGTCTGCCATTCCTTTTAAATGTTTAATATTTCAAGCTCTACCAAGATAACCACAGAGGCACATTGCTTGGCAGTGGTCGTCCCCAAAGAGCGGTGGCTCTTTGGTGTTGGTGCTCAAGGCTACCAGTAAGACATATCTGTGTGGCAAGGTGTGCAACACCTACTCTTCCCATCCTGTGTATTTATGGGCTTGGAGAAGTTACAGATTATCTGGCTTTCTTATAACTTGGCCAAGCTGGAAATACTTAACTACACTTTGAAGTTTGTCTTTTTCCATCTTTTGTTTGTTTCTTCCCATTTCGAGTTATTGCAATGCCATTAATATCTAAAAGAAAAAAAAAGCTTTTATCCACCATGGATGAATTAGTAAGAATTGGTTCTTCTTGGAAGGTGTCCAGAAGTCTGATCCTGCATGGTAGAAACCAATGAGCCCATTTTATGGAGGAACAGAAATGTTACTTGTAAGAGCTACCCAGTCACATAGCTTACTTAAGTTTCTTCTGCCGACTCACCAAATTTCCATTGATGTGAATGGTCTTTTTCTGGAAATTAATCTTTCTTCTCATAAGATTTTAATAACAAAATGGTGACACGGTGTTTTTACATACAGCTATGGTATTGGTACCTAATTGAATTTGCTATTACAAAGTGTGCTTCTGCTGCAAAGAAAAAAAATATATATGTACATACATGTTTTATATATGAAAATATATGTATAAAATTAAAGTACGTCTTAGTGGCTTTGGACATTATTCAATCTTATGTTTGTGCTACTTTTTCATTCCCAAAAGATAACTGCTTATTTCTTGGCCATTGTATTCTATTTCAGTGAAATTAATCTTTCTTCTCATAAGATTTTAATAACAAAATGGTGACACGGTGTTTTTACATACAGCTATGGTATTGGTACCTAATTGAATTTGCTATTACAAAGTGTGCTTCTGCTGCAAAGAAAAAAAATATATATGTACATACATGTTTTATATATGAAAATATATGTATAAAATTAAAGTAAGTCTTAGTGGCTTTGGACATTATTCAATCTTATGTTTGTGCTACTTTTTCATTCCCAAAAGATAACTGCTTATTTCTTAGCCATTGTATTCTATTTCAGTGTTTATCAATCTCGAAGTCTGGCTGAAAGCCTGTAAATAGACTTTGCATAACCTATTCCTAAATTACAGAGAAATTGATACCTTCAGCAATGCAGAATGAAAGACTTCTTTTTAATTTTGCCATGTCAACAATGTATTACATGAAAAATATGTATAAAATTTTAGAATATATTGTATACCAAAACTTATATATCATAAATACTGTTTACCTGGGATGTTTCTCCAGGGGCTGCTGTGCTGTAGCAAAAGTTGTGTTTATTCAAGCTCTTAAAAACCACTCTGTCTACTTTTCTCATTAGTTGTTTTCTTAGACTCAGGTGGGGAGAAGCAAAAGAAGAAAGTTCAGTATTATTATTCTCCAGACATACTATTACGAAAATAAGCATTTCGCATAGAAATAAGATTAGATTTGATCTGCTGCAAGAAAGGTTTTTGTGGTATTTCTTTCAAAGACTTACCTAGCTTATTTGTCACTGTACTTTAAGCACCGAATCACGTGCAGGCCAGAGACCTTGAGAGGGAAGCTGGTGAACGCCTGCTGCAGCTCTCTTTTTGGCTTGATAACTTGGCAGAAGTTGTAGTCGGTTTTGAAAGCTCACTTTTCAATGAAGTTAAAAAATATTACTGCAAAATAGACTGCTCTGTCCCTCGAAGTGCATCTGTAAACTTTTTCCTCAAAATACGAGTACAGAGATACTGTACTACCTTTTATTCGTGTTGAGATTGTAGATAGGTAACAGCTTGCATTAATATTTGACAATGTTTGTTCTGTGTCACCGTCAGAAATGTAGCTGAAAAGCTCTTTGGCTGGCTGACTTATACTTGAAACTGGTTTTTTTTGTAAGATCTGGATTTGAAAATCTCTCCTGCCAGATTTGTAGCTGTCAGGTTCATTATCTTCAAAATTTATACTAACCTCTTATAGTGTTTTGCTTTCTGCAGAAACAGAAGGTGCATGCAGCACAGATGCCAGCCTTCTCCAAGGAATAACCTCTTCATCCCCAAGTGACGCCAGCTCCTGCTAGTACCATGGGGCCAGAGGGTGGTTTCTTAGGCAGTGGACAGGTCCACGTCATCCTGTGGGGAAGTTTGGCAGCCATGACAACACTCTTGTTCCTCACGTTCCTCATCTTCCTCTGCTCCAGCTGCAACAGGTAAGGCTCAGGAGCTTAGCACGCAGTAATGTTGCTTGAGTCAAATAGTGTCGGGATTGAAATAGCTTCACTAATAGTTAGCAAGAAATACTGAGGACTTAGGTACAGAAACAAAAAAAGTACAGTACAAAATCTGTTTTCAGAGCAAACCTGAATTTGAACAGTTCTTTTTTTTCTAAAATCTAAATTTTTTTAAAATTTTTTTTTTGCTGTGAAGGAAAAATACTATTGATCTTGCTAGGTGCTTTATCCTAAGCTGAAGCCTGGAGCACAGGAGGATGCTGGCTGGGACGACCCGTGGTGCGCGGGAAGGGCTGTCACGACCGTGGTGCGCGGGAAGGGGAGCGGTGGTAGTGCTGAGCCCCCATCCCTCCTGTGTGTCGCTGCCAGATCCCTTAGCTGGCAGAGCTAGGCTTGGTGCATTCTTCTGGATAGCAGATCACACCACTCACCTGAAACTGAGAAAATTAGATGGGCCAAACAGGACCAAAAAAGTATAGGTAGAAAGGAAAGGAAAGCAATTTTGATGCATTTCAGCTTTGCTTTGGCCACTCCTGGAGACTAGGGAATTGATCCTGCCATTCAAGCCAGAATGAGTAAGAATCAGATGATGATACTAATTAATGGCTTGTACTCATACCCTATCCTTATTTTCTTCTCCATAAGATTTCACCAATACAGACACTTCTACTGACTTTGTTTATTCACATTTCATGGCCCCTTCATGATGCGTAAGCTCAGCCCTGCTGATTGTACAGGGGAGCTGGGCAGCCTGGCTCAATGGAGGGTGCCCTTCCAACACGTCAGACCGGTCAGACCCTTCACGACGAGGAGAGGGACTGCTTTGGTCCATATTGCTACAGTTTGCCAGCATAGCTCAATCAGCCAAGTGTATGGGGAAAAAACCCTATCCATAACTCAGTACAGCAGCAAAATCTTTGTTTTGGACCCTTATGCCTATAGGAGCATGTTCTTTCAGCATCGAGAGTGTTGAGGAAGCTGTGCAGCCATAAAATGCCCTATATTGACATAATGTATGTCTATTGGAAGGCCCTGTTTTCCAGCAGGATTTCTCTAATGCCCACACTGCAAAAAACAGTCATGGGCAAGACCAAACCCCAGAAGTTGGTTGAAACCCTAAAAAGCATAAGCTGGAACATGTAATTTCATATGATTCAGGTGAAATGCTTTTGTTGCACTGTAAGCTGTTAGATGACATTTCAGTATCTTCCTATTCATCACAGTTTCCTGTGATACCTGTGTAAAAACAGTAGAAATGTGTTTGGGGTTTTTTATTTATTTAAAAGCATAAAACCTATTTTAAAACCCCTTAAGCCCACAACAAACATTGCAGTTAGGTACCATGTTTTGTCTCGTAACGCTCCAGTCCTTGAAACATCTTTAGAAAGATGTTTTTAAGACAGAATCACACCACTGAGTATGTCTTTGCAGTTGCAGAGATTCATTGTCAGAAACTATCTGGTGATGCTCTTTAATAAATTCTTGTGTTGCTCTGGATTCGGTATCATTTATTTCAGGTCATTCTGTAGGGCAGGTTATTTATGCATAAATGCAATTATGCAAAATTTCTTCCTAGCTTACTGTTCAAAAATGGTTGAGGACACAGAAAACTGAACAAAATCTGCTCTTTTTTAAAATGTCAGAGTCAGAAAAACTTTCCAGAGAGGAAATTAAGTATTTGTAAACTTTAACTATGCTCTGCATTGGTGCAGACTCACTTGCTCCATTTTCTTATTTCCTAATTGGGTACAATTTTAACAGTTGCTAATGTGGGAAGTACGGTGCATTGCAGACTTCAGAAGAAGCACAGATTTCATATCGTCAATATTTTCTCACCTTTTTACTTGCCTTTTCATCTAGGGGAGGGACTTATTATTTTAAACTCATGGTTTATTACAGTATTTCAGAATAAGAGCTGTAATTTCTGCCATTTCCAAAATGGTAGAAACTGGAAACATGATCCATACTTTGAGACCTATGAAGTACCCAGTGAAGCAGGATTCATTTTAAAATTAAGTTCAAGGCATCTGCTGCTATGAAATTTGTAGGCCTTCTTGAACCGCTCGTGCCTATTATTAATTGTAACTAGCATCCTGAGTGGGACAAGGCTGGATTTTGTGGGCCTTTTCTACTTCGTCATAGGATAAATAATTTTTACTGACACAGTTTAAGGAACTCCCCAGATAGTCTGTCACCAAAACACGTATCTCATGTATCTCCTAACATTTCAGATACGATTAAATTGAGGATAATATTTTGATTATCATCAGTTAGTCCTTACTGCGATCTTCTACTGAACAAGAAAAAGGGTTGTGTGTGTTTGTTGTACCTCTTCAGATTTGTTCACCGCCCTACCTTAATGGCGACCTTACACAGAGGTCATACCAGTCCCTGTAATAATTTTCAGTTACTCCATTTTCAATATTATTGTGAATCACAGTTCTGCTCCTTGCAGGTGTGTAAGGTCTATTAATGACTGGTATTTGTATATTAGCATAATCTGTAGTAACAGTTCATACGTCTTTTTCATTAAGGGAAAAGAAGGCCAAACAGCAGAACGGAGATCATGAAAATCTGATGAATGTGGTAAGTATTTATTTCTGGCAGCTTGTGTCTGTCTTGTTGTTGGCTTGGACCAAGCTCCTTGCAAAATACTGCAGGTTGGAAAATAGCTCAGGAATTTGGAGATGGTTGAGCAAGGGAAACTTTAAAAGTTGCAGAACAGGAAGAGAACTTGTGTAGACCCCGATAATCTGCACTTTCTCAGTGCTCTTTCTGCCACCGTTGTCACTCCAGATCTCCTGCCTTTCTTTCACTCCGTTCGCAGTGCAAGCATTTGTCAGCTGCTGTCTTCTCATGGGCTGAAGCCGTGGTAATGTCTATTACCATAAAAGTTGGAAGGGAGATCACCCTGGACAGACTTGCATTTATTTGTTTTAACATCTGTAAAAACAAGCACCTAAATCTTTAGTGTCATCAGTGTGGTTTGACTCTCCTGCCAATAATACCTGTGAGTCAGAGCTCCCAAGATGAGAATGAAATTTGTCACGTATCTATTTATGCAAACATTTGTTCTGATCCAACGGTGATTAGATCTCACTAATTTGTGTTGCAGCCTTCCGATAAGGAGGTGTTCAGCCACTCGATCACAAGTTCGGCTACAGACCCTCCTCCAAGCAGTGACCATAACGGAGCACTCAGCAATGGCGAGGGTGAGTAACGCAGCCGCTGCAGGCAGGATGAACGAGCGGTGCCGTCCCCTTGCTCATAGCTCCCACGGTAGCTGCACATTGGTGATCCCTCACGTCCTACGTTTCTAGCCATCAGCTTTCCAAGCACACGGTCATGCCGTTTGTCTGAATACCCTGCGTTTTCCTCTGCTCACTTCTGGAGCTCTGACACCAGATCGGCTGCTGTATCCCAGGGCAGTGGCCAGGCATGCAGCTCTCTGGAGGGCAGTTCTTTTTGTACAAAACATAATTCACACAAAACTTATGCTCAAGTAAGAAATGCAGTGAGCACATTTGCCGTGCTGGCAAGTCAGCAGCCCACCCCATGGAGATGTTGGCATTTTAGGCTGCATCTTCACTTCCCTGGTGGGTGTGCTCTAGCACAGCCCTGCACCCCGGCTCCCAGTCCTCCGTGCCAGCCAACACTGGGAAGGTGCTGAGGTCCTCCTCTGGGCCACCAGGCTCCACCTGCAGATAGACGAGGCCATCAGGCAAAGACTGCGGCATTCCCTAATCTCAGCCAGCTACAGAGTTGGGATGTGACCAGAAGATGCAGTTGCACCTCGGAGCTTCACTCCTGGAGGCTGTGGAAATATTTCAGGTCCTCCTCCAGGGACTACAGGTTTGGATCATAGTCCCGTGCTGTGCGAGACTGTCACTTGTATTTTTGTATTTTAGAAAACAGGCAACATAAATAGGCTTCCTTTTTTTTCCTTAGTCTTTGCTTTGTTGAACTCTCAAAATGATTCACACTGAAGTATCGCTGGAAAATATTTTACTCAGCTGCACCTAAAAATAAACTCGGTCTCAGCTCAGAGCTGCCAGGAGCCAACTGTTGTCTCCACAGTAGGCACCAACACCGGGGGCTGCGCTCCCAACTTACAGCTCATCTCCTCATCTCACTGTGCAGCCGGAGGCTAAGCTATTCAGTCTTTACCCCTCAGAGACAAGTATCCAAAGGAATTTTTAAACTTTGTTTTTGCAGCTAATCGCTGCTCCCATCTGTTGGCTTGTTGCGTATGTAGGTGTGTGTGGCTCACCAAGGGACTCGATGCGCAGAGCAAAGCCCTGCAGAAGGGAAGCATTTCTCTTTGCCACGAGTCACCACACATGCAGCTGTCAAAGCTGCTACTAAAAGGCGTACTGTCAACCAGCAGACAGTTTTCAGACTGTCTGGTATTAGTCAGCTTACACTCTGCACAACAACCCTTCTGAATAACAGGAACCAGTGTGCTTTAATTTCTTATTTATACTTTATGCATTCTTTTTGATAATAGTTCTTTCTTTTGCTGTTTTCTGCTAGCCTTTTTGAGCAGGGGCAGAAGCAGCACCATCAAATGTATTTTTTATTCCTTTGTCCAATCTGCCAGTGCTGTATTTATCTACACCAACCCCTTATCTACACCAACCCCTTCTGTGCTACTGCCCATAACCACAGGAGTACAGAAACATGAGCTCTCGTTGCTTCTGATTATCCCCGCTAGGCTGGACGGGGTGGGTGTTCCCTGGAGCCTGTGGTGGTGCTCTGCATAGCAGAGAAATCCCTGAGAGCAAGCACGAGAAGGGGAAAACATGTTCCAGCTTCTCCAGGCCAGTTCCTGATGTTCCTCAGGAAGTCTGCAGCCATCCTGGGTAGTGACTAGGACACCTTGAGTCCTAGTCAGGACACAATAGGACACTTCTTCCTATTCTACCTATTCCTCCCCAGTTGTATGCAGGAGCCAAGTGAATGGAGAAGGATGTTTTCCTTTTCTTCTTCTCCCATCTCCCATTCAGACAGCAATTACCATCTCACGCCTCCAGTTCCATCCTGAGTTTTGCTGTCAGGGTACGGCTCCCTGCGGGTGCTGACTGCATGAGTCTGCATGCCCTGAGCACAACACAAAGCAATGTCCGTGACAACGACCAAATCAAGGGTACCGATTGCTTCGGCAACACTTTATGTCATCATGTCAAACACACTGAAGGAAATAGAAGAATGGGTTGATTTTGCTGAGAGGGTACCATAGGAATTGTACTAAGAAAAGTAAAGCTATTCAGAAGCGATTTTTCAAAGAAATGGTGTCACAGAAAGTAACATACCATATACTACCTGAAACCTGCTTGTATGTGCCCATGTATACATCCCTGAATGCAGGCAAATGTCATACGTGCGCACTGTAAGATGAGAAGTCCCATAGATTTCAGTCTGTAATACCCTCTAGTGACAGTGACACATGACCTGCTTCTGGGACTTAAAATAACATGTTCTGCCTAACACTACTTTCTGAAGTCTAGTCTTCTCTTTTGTGCATATGGCTGACTCGTTAGTAGGTTGTCAACCTACATTATGTGCTGCGAGACTAAGAGAAGTATGGCATAGCCTTCCAGTGAGGAGCTTCTGGCGTAGCATGCAGTGAGGCTGACTGTGGCAGGGCTGAGCGAGGTGTGATTCAGACGAGAATTTGGCCAGCATGTTAAACAAGGTGAGGGCTGGGTAGGGAGGAAGCAGGAACACTTTCCTTTCTGATTCCAAAGGATAAGGACATGGAAAGAGAAAAAGAGGCTTTTTTTAAAGGCACTTGGTTTGAGGCCTCCCACCAGTGTTGCCCATCTGAGACTACTGAGCAGTCTGTAAGCATTCAATATAACCAACTACAGCTGAACATCCATGCACACCTGCACCTACCCACCCATCCCCTGTTCTTACTGTGAATGCTGTTGCTATGTAATGTGACTTGGGAGTGCACAGTGTATTTAAGATGCTGTGAGAAAGATATTTTAACAGTAGAGAGCAGAAATCTCTGTAACTGAAACCTTTTGATAAACAAAAAGCATGATGACCGCTAGACATTTCCAGGCATTAGTATCATTTATCCTTTCTAGTGAGACACAAAACCAAAGTGATGTAGAGTACCAAATCGCACTCACCTTATAGTTACGCATTTGTTTTAAATACTTCTTTATAATTTTCTCTAGTACTCTCAGAGGACAGTACAACTGCTTGTATCCAGCCTTATGAAGAAGTACAGACGTCTGTCTCTGATCTGCTAGATCAACAGGATAGTCTTGGAAAGTCTATAAAATGTCACCAGAGCCGGGAACTACCCAGTATTCCCCCTAACAACACCATGGAAACCATCATCTCGGCTAGAAATGCAGAAAATGATCAAGGTCTTGGAATGGAAGGGCCTTACGAAGTCTTGAAAGACAGCTCCTCTCAGGAGAACATAGTTGAAGACTGCTTGTATGAAACTGTGAAGGAAATTAAAGATGTTGGAGCAGTAGCCAGCATGGAAGGGAGCTGTAACAGCAAATCAGAGGCTTCGGTGACAGTTTCTGAAGGTCAGAATCAGATTCCTGAGTGCAGAATTGAATCAGCAGAATATGCATCTGTTGACCGAAATAAAAAAAGTCGCCAAAGTGCTAATTCAGAAAGCCCTCTTGACAACACACCAGATGTAGAGGATGAGCTTCCCCCTCCGGTACCCATGAAACTTCTTGATGAAAATGAGAATGTGCAAGAAAAAGAAGTGGAAGAAGAAGAAGTGACAGAAGGAGCAAGTAAACCAGAGAAGGTAAATACTGCAAATACTTGTCCTTGTCAAACAGCCAAATACTGATAGAGAACATATGGGTGGGAGAGGATTTTTTTTTTAATAACAAAAAAATGCCAAGGAAAAAAAAAACATTCAAGGTGATGCAAGACTGTAAATTATGAAAATATGAAAATGTACAGTATAGTGTTTGCATTATAGGCATGTACTCATTCTATTGGAGCCTATATTTTGGACTGTTGCAGTATGCACTTCATAAGGCTTTTCCCAAATACTATCCAGAAATTGCATAGGAGGCCTCTGCTTCTTTGTTTAATGGTATTATACTTGTGGGAGCTATTACAATAGGTATCCAGTATCTCTGTCAGCATCTGTATCTTGTTCAGAATCTCCCCCTTGTTTTTTTTCTAATGAAATCTCAATTTACAAAAAGGAGAGGGGGGGCATTCTTGGTGGATGCCCTAACTTTAGATGTGCCTCCTCTGTTGGGCCACCTTGACTTAGCTGTGCAAGGGTTAGGCATCTGCTCAAAGCCACTTGTCTCGTCTCTCTCTGTAGGAGAGAGGGACAGAAAGAGAGAGAGATTGCAACTGTAGGCTTTTATATTTGTCAAATCTTGTATGTCACACATAAACAAAGTAATGAATTTCTACCTACTGAAATCATGGCCAAAAGTTATGTTTTCTTAGCAGCTTATTCTTTCTCCCAGCCTAGGGACAAGTTAGTGGTGAACTCCTTGAAAACTAGAATGATGACATTTTCAACAAGTTATTTTCCCATTTTTAGTTTTTCACCAGAATTAATTTTAAGGATGTTTTCAGATCATTGCACTGAGTTTTCATAAACTGTTGAGTTTGCATTTTTCAGACTTGTTTAGGTAACAGTAATTGTGAATAGAAGAACTACAATTTTAGCAGATTAATATAACTTTGGTGTCTGAGTCATCAAATAATATTAGGTATTGATGAAGACTTCCAAAAAAATCCTTAAGATGCGATGTGACATTTTAACGTAAACATTTACCTGAAAAATCATAGCAGAACTGAGGTATTGCTACTTGTTTCTGGTTGTTCTCTTATGTGAAGTATTTCAGTAATCCAGGCAGAGGGCAGAAAAATACCTTGTTAAATAACTGACTAACCATATAACCTATAAAGCACAATAGAGTCAAAATGAATAAACTGAAGACTACTCATAATATATCCGGACTCTTCAGTGCACATTCTTACAAATAATGAGCTCGTTAAGTAAAAAATTAAGATGTGATTGTCAACAATAACCCACCAGCACTCCCCCCTCCCAGATTCAGGCCATATGTAATTTCTAATTAAACTTTTAGAAAAACAGCTTTCCGTAACAGTGACATTTTTCCTACCAGGTGTGAAAAGACTTCCAGAAAATCATTGTATTTCCCAGGCACGATACAAAGGAAAAGCATTTGCTGCTCTGTAGCTCCCCAGCTCACCATGTATACAGTGTCAGTAACTGCAAGGAGTGGGAATTGATTAAAATGGTTCAGGTTTTGAAGGATTAATCAAGAGATGACACATGCAGTCCCCTAAGTGCCAGAAAAAAGGTGTTTGTCTAATTAAAATTTATTCAGAGCTAAAGCCATCCTGAGTTAAAGCTTCGGCAGCATCAGATCATTCCCGCGTTCGCTGCTAGGTACATGCATTATGCATCGAAGCATGTGCCTGTCCTGTCCTTGAGAGCTACAGCTGCAGCAGAGTTGGAAATGGTAATTGATGGAATATATAAATGTCATTATTGTTGGCATTGTGTGGGGAGGTGGTTGCGGGATTGTTTTTCTGTTGTGATGATGATAATTTTTCCCTCTATTTTGCTGCTTCAAACAATGCACAGCAATGCCTGCTTTTTCCAGTGTGGCAACCAAAACCACGATGTTTATGGAAATGTATGTTGTATTGATAACTCTTTTAGTTAAACAGACTCCATAGGTGTCTCTTTTTGCTTCCTCTCTTGTGAGGCTACTTAGCTGCCTTGCTTAACATGACATGCGTATACCAAACTTTTCAACCTTCTGCCCTGACCCTGATGAAGCAAGAGGTTGGGCGTAAGTTGTGCGAGTCTCTCTCACTACAATTAGGCTTTGCTTTAGTAGGGCACAAAGAAGGGACAGGCAGGGAGGCTGCTTGTGTAACCGAGACTTGTACCTGCCAACAGACAGAGAACAGATCGTGTCCAGGCTGTTTCAGTCTCACCCTGTAAAAGAGGGCAGCCAGGATGATCCCCAGCCCTTGCCAGTTCCTGAAGCACAGTCATTTGGGAGAGAGCTAGGTGGACCAAGCCAGAGACCGTTCCAGTATATAACAGCATGAAAAGGATAAAGGATCCTTTCAAGAGCCAGACGTGCAATAAATGGGTGAAAATTAATTACCTAAATTGGTTATTGGCCATGACCCAGCCAAATCCTTTGGAAGGTTTTGGTGAAGAAAGACACCTTTAACAGTACGAGGCCTCTTCTAGGCCTCTATCACCTGGAAAAACTTGGGCGTAGTTCTTCTAATAAAACTGGAGAGGCAGAATAGTTTTTCTTTAGTTCTTCCTTTTTAATTAAAAAAAAAAGAAGTATGGATCTCCTTTTTCACCCAGGTCTTTCAAGAGTGAGCACTGGTAGAAATGCTCTCCACGTGTACATCTGGCTGCTACCATCTGATTTCAGACTTGCGCAGCCTGAGGATGGGCAAAGCATCTCTTACAAATGCACCAGAGGAGAATGGTCTTCTTGTTCTGGTGCCCAAGTTAGGAGCAGCAGCTGAGCCAAAGAGCAAAAAATCAAGTGCTGTCGAGGAACAAAAGGAAAGTGGAAGGCAAATAAGGACACATGCTGTTTGCTGCTGTTGAGGTTTCAAGCATAATTTATAATATTGCTAGGTACAAAATGTTTAGGAGCAAGTATTTTTCTGTTTCCAAGATGACGATATCCTTCAAAATTGATGTGTCACAGGTTTCACATTTAGAAGAAAGAACACTAGGTCCCAGGGAAACAAGAACAGGATTGCCAACACCCTGGGGTATTTGTCAATACTTGAGTGGGAAACTGTAGAAGGGGTCCTGACACGTGGTGCTCACAGACACACTGATGAGAGAAAATAACTTCACTGAAGAATTTTGCAAGCACGTTTGTTTTAATGTGTGAGGATGAAATTAGTAAATTACTCAACACAAAAAATATCCTGCAAATAAGAAAGACTGAACTGAGCTGCTGTAGTGAAACAGATCTAATAAAGGGCCAAAATATGTTTGAACTTCTCCTTTTTCTTTTTTTTTTTTTTTTGTGAGTAAACAAACCACAGGTTAAAGAGCGCATTCTCCAGGCAGTGAGAAAGAAGCAAAGGAGTTTTTAGGTGTGAGGGAAACCCCCCGGGGAGCAGCAGGCAGACCTAAATGTGCTTTGGGTCAGGGTCTTCATCAGAAGTGCCCCAGGGGTTCAAAGCTTGGTATTTACCAGAAGTAAAAACACCAAGAAAAATGGAAGTAGGAAAGAATCTGTTGTAATGAGCCTCTGTCAAAAAAAAAGTCTTGTGTGTCTAGTATGTGTCTGGAAGCAGTATTTGATTGACGGTGCCAAAAATAGCTTTACTTCTCCACCCTGGTCTGCACTGAAGGAGGTCTGAAGTATTTTAGGTGCAGAATTTGCATGAAACTCCAAAATACGGCCTGTTACAAACAATGCTCGAAGGCTCCCTCTGAATCACTGTGGAGCAGGAGTCCAGCAAAGCCTTCTCGCCCCAAGGGGGAGGAATCACACAGCTGCTGTGAGGTAGCCAGGGTCTTTGTTGCCATAAAGGTCCTAAGACATTTTTCGTAAGAGCAAAATGCTTTTCCCCCAGTGTTTCGTGACCTAATTTCTACATGATGCTTTACGTGCTTGAAGTTAGACTTGATACAAAACCAAGCCCTCCATCCTTTAGTAACTTTGCTGTGGTGAACTGGATCCAGCCAGATGCTTTGAGGGTTGAGCTGCCCATCTCTGGGTGGGTTGCAGCAGGTCTTTTCCATGTTTGCAGTCTGAGTGGTTGTGAGGCAGTGCTGCTGTGCACCTCTGCACAGCTGCTGCATTTCGTGGGGGAGGACGACACAGCGCCTCCCGTGCAGCACTTCCAGGATCCACTGAATGAAGGATAACAATCATCAAGAAGGTGCCAGTTGAGTATTGTTCTTTTGTCATTTAAAAGCATATCTGAAAATCACGTGGAAGGCCAACTAGTGTGTCACAGCTTACTTGTAATTGTTCAAAAGACTTTGCAGACTCTTTCTTGCTTCATTAGAAGTGTAAAGGTGGGGATACAGTGGAGCAGAGTTTGTTTTAACCATGACATTATTTTTACTCTTTTCAGGTCAGGACAGGAGGAGATACATTAAAAAGCTCTACTAACCTCAAGGCTGTTATCTTCAGAGATGTACTCTGGATATTAGGGATATTAGCTATGTAAAATGGAACTAGTGAGCAAATGACCATAAAATATAATGTATTGATTGTAATGGGAGGGTTTTATTATAGGTTTCACACTGTTGACTGGTAATGAGCCTCTTTCTTTCTTTCTTTCTTTCTTTTTTTCTTTCTTTCTTTCTTTCTTTCTTTCTTTCTTTCTTTCTTTCTTTCTTTCTTTCTTTCTTTCTTTCTTTCTTTCTTTCTTTCTTTCTTTCTTTCTTTCTTTCTTTCTTTCTTTCTTTCTTTCTTTCTTTCTTTCTTTCTTTCTTTCTTTCTTTCTTTCTTTCTTTCTTTCTTTCTTTCTTTCTTTCTTTCTTTCTTTCTTTCTTTCTTTCTTTCTTTCTTTCTTTCTTTCTTTCTTTCTTTCTTTCTTTCTTTCTTTCTTTCTTTCTTTCTTTCTTCT